CTGGAGTTTCAATACTGGGAACATTCATCGCCATGGTTATAAACTATATGATACATCTTGCAGATTTTCGTAGGTTTTATTTATACAAGTCGTAACGCTCTTCTCTCCCTCCTAGCACAGCATCTAACCATGTCCATTTTAATGCATGTTTTAATGAATTGTGAAAAAAATGGCAGTCGTAAAAGACGAGTTTAGCTTTTAATTTCAATTTTAATCAATCACACACATGTATGACATTCATAATTCGGACAGACTACTAGTCCCCAATTGTAATGACATGTATATATCTCATGTACTGTAGTGGTTATCAGAGAGACTATATTAAAACATACTACATATATTCTGATATTTCATATTCATTAACTAGTTTTGTAGGAGGTACATGTACATACACACACTGTACAGTTGGTGATGGCGAGTTAAAAACAAAATTGACGTAATGGCAAGTCAGTTTTATAATTTTATAAGTTTTATGTATTATACATGTATGTATGCATATTCAAATTTAAAAACAAAAGTGTTGATATAATACATACTGAAAGAGAGACTAAAAATAAACAAGAATACCATGTAATTATCACAATCAATTACCCACAAAACTTTCGTATTTGTGTAACCACTGAGCAACTGCTCAGAAATTCAGCAACTACAAAACAAGTACCACTTAATAGAAAGCACTGAAAACAAAGATTGGTGCACACTTTTGCTATACATGTTGTATTATGTATCATAAGCATCTACTGAATTTAGTCATAAAACATGGAACACGCAGATAAGATGAGAGACGTAATGAGGGATGCACTGACATGAACTAATCTATAAAATGTACAAGTCCATATTTTGGTTTATGTATAATACATTGTATACTGACAAATCATAGCGAGAATTAATTAAATAAATCTTGAGAGTACACACAATATAATATTCCACAAAAGATCTTTAAATAGCTGTTGCCATGACAATAGCAACAATCATACACATAAATAATTGAATGAGAACTGCTGACATGAACAGAAACCAGAGATTTACAACAATGTACACTTACATATTAAAATGATCATAATTTATTATAATATATATACAGGTTTTTGACATCATTTTGCATGAATGTGAAAACTGAGCGATGTTAGGTTCTTGTAAGTTATTACAAAGCTACACATGTCTGTGCTATACTTTTGATGCCATCGTTTTTCAAGTCACAATTTGGGGAATTGATTATTTTTCTTTAACCTTTTACTAATTTTGAACAAAATGGTTCTATTATTTTTTTGAAAGACAAAAGTTGACCTTGGTATTAAAATATGTCAGTATCTGATTTTATATTAAAATAATCACAAAATGACAATTTTACTACGACTACAACAGTAATCGTAACTTACAACAGTCACCAATATTTGATATTTTCAGAAGCTCAAAAAAATTGCTTAAATTTTTTCTTGTAATTTACAGTCAATAAAAGAAGGTTCCTTGTATATTTTCAAGTGACTGACAGAAAAAACAAGAAGGATATTTCCATTTGATTAATCATTTCAGTGTAACCTAGAAGTTACAAATAGGAATAATTTCTGGGCGTTAACGTGTATTTTTGTGTGAGAGAAAACAGTAGTCAAAAAGCTTCTGTAAAACTAAAAGTTAATCTCTTCACTAAAAATGTTAGTATGCTGACTTGTATTAACAAACATAAAATTCCATGGTTTTCCCTATTAAGGGTTGTTTGTTTACAAAATATTTGCATACATAGTGCACAACAACAACTGACTTTTTGAAACCACAAACATACGGTGAAAAATCATCTGAACTGTGCAGCTTCACTTGATTTAAGCCTATTTCCTTAATAACCTGTGCATTATTCTTCCCATTGATTACCTATACATACATCTGATTGGACACACCTCTAATACGTGTTTCTAATCAGTGTTGGCATAATGAGCTCGTTAATTAAATTGAAACTCAATATTGCATAGCATATATCTTATATTGACAAATCAAGTCTACCAAGTTTGGTCTGATTTGGACTATTACTATTGTAGTTCACAAGATATTAACAAGAATTCAAATTAATAATTAAATATGCAAATGAGCTCATTAATTGATTCCTTGAAAAAATAAATCAATGTGCATCTGTACCAGTGGTCACTCTGTGTCTTTGTGTCAAGTCTTAGCAAAATCAGTCCAGGCATCTCCGAGAAATGATGATGACATTCAAAATGGCCGCCAGGCAGCCATATTTGATCAAATCACAAAATAAATCTATGTGAATATGTATACCTCCTCACTGTGTCTTTGTACCTAGTGTCATTGAAATCACTCAAGACAGACAAAAGTCATGATTAACAATCAAAATGGCTGCCAGTCGGCTATATTTGATCATTTCAAAAGAGTAAAACAACGTGCATCTGTATGGGTGGTCCTTTTGTCTTTGTAACAAGTCTCAACAAAATGGTCATGCCATCTCCGAGAAAAAACGATGGACACACAAGGACCAAATTTGACTGAAATTTTGCATTCAAAATGGCCGCTAGTCAGCCATATTTGGTTTGGAAAATAGATTGACATGCACATGTATGGTTGACCACTGTCTTTGTACCAAGTTTCAATAAAATCCGTCCAGCCATCTCCTAGTAATCACTCTGGACGGACGGACAAACAGAATGACTGACTGACTGACTGATGGGTGGGGGCTAATTAGCATATTTGGCAGGAGAGAATAACCAAGTGCATCTGCCCTGAATATACAAATTTTCTACAGACAGAAATGAGACTCATTGTCTATCCGCTACCAAATATACAAGCCTACCATTTATAACCTACACAATAGACAACGAAAACACTGTATATATTATATTGCTATATGTAAATTGCCAATTCTACCACATCATTTCTCTGATTATATAATAATCGTATCGTAAGGGATGATGAAGAATCATGGTGTTCTAAAAAGTGTGATAATTGTGAAAATTTTCACTATATTACTCTATATTACAATGATTTCTAAAAGACATTCTCCTACATTTTCAGATGTCGGGTTCACAGGTTTTCTAGTGCCAGATACAAGACTACATGCTCTAGCCAATCAGAGTGCTCGATTCAGACTAACCATGTTATAATCTAATTTATATGCATCTCTGATTTAGTATTATGGTAAAGTCTATGGTGTGAACTTGTTAGTTGATGACAATTGTATTTATTGAATAATTCCTCTCCCGACTACTATGTAATACACATAATATGTTACACTAGTTGATATTATTTTTTAATTAACTTGGCAAATGCAGCTTATAATAGTCATCAAATTCAGTAGTGACTTTCAAAGCACACCCTATTGTCTGTGTCATGCTTTTGTTTATTTGTTTTCCCAAATTTGGCAGTAAACAAAATGATTTTAGTAGCATGTTTATTTTTATATCATTTCTAATACTTGCCAAATGGCCAGCTCAAAACAATGCAATAAACTAATGGTATATATTGGCTTCTGTTTATATTAAAAGAATAGATAAAAATCTGCTCGGAAGGATATAAAGTCATCTGACAACAAAATATATTTATAAATCTACAATGAAGGGGGGAGGGAAACGTGCATTTGCAAGATAACAATGCACAAACAATGAGAGCACATTCTCAATGTCAAAGGGCAATTGGTTCAAGAGTGTTAAGTAAGTAGATATTTCAGAATGGTTAGCCTTGCATACTTCCTACACTGTTTGACTTATAACACTAAGGATATCATTTAACAAAAAGATTCCTTTTGCACTATGCAAGTAATTTTAGATTTATTGCATCTAGTATACTAGTGTTTATTTTTGATGATTAATATTGAGAAAAAATATAGACTTGTTTAACAGTAGCAATTATTTACATGCTAACTAGTCAACCAATTAGATTAATTAATAGATTGTTAATTGAGACATAGACTATAGAGAAGAAATTATGATTGAGATAATAATCATCTCTACATTTTTCAGAGATGAATCAAAGGTTTGCGCTCCAGACAAAACTGATTGATTAGTTGCAGATTAGATTTCCTGAAAATATGTTCTCAAACACATTGACTTTTGATACAACTGAGGTCAGAATATTCCCCTATCTCTAAATTACAGCCTATCACATGAATTTTACCAAAAGGCAGCATATTGTTGTATTGTATGGGCAACTCCCAAATGTACATCAGTCAATAATACTACATCAGTCTGGTTCATTGTATTTAAACAACCACAATTTAATAACGTCTCATTTGCCCCCAATGCTTACTAATTTACCTAATTCACACCCACTCAAATTTTTAATTACTAGGGATAATAAATTTGTAATTATATTAACACCAGGGACAGCAACAATTGAATGTCCAGAAATAGACTGCAGTGACTCAGTACACGTCATGGGGGTGTTTAAGTGTATTCGTTAATAAAGGGGCACGCCTAGCATATGACGGCATAACTCGATATGAAATCAGAAAAAATAAATATGAAACACATGCAATACACAGTGAATGCAATGACTTGCATATCTGGGCAATTCTAGCGCTGTCGCTGTATCAATTTACGATAAAATGTTCATGTATCATAAATAATTTAAAATGTTTCAGTTCATAACGAGAGAAAAAAACACCGTCTGAACGGCGATAAGTTCGATGACCTAATTTATCATTCACATTTTTGAGCCCTTACCTGCATCTATCTGAAATGTAACATTTTACGTCAGTCTTTTTGTTGTTGCCTGATCCTCCGAACTCGTGTTCCATTTTGTTAATAGTCCCAACTAAAATTGAATCCACCAAACGTGGAATCTTTTAGTTAACTGTTTTGTCTGAGTAGGTGACTGGGCTAGCCTTAGACGGATATTGACTAGAAAGTTGAATCATTGAATGCAAACTCACTACCGGTCTTGGGTCAAACTCCGCAGTCCTACGTACAGCCGGTCGAACAATCGTGTAACGATTTGACAGTCAGGAAATGATATTATTTTCATTTGATTCCAATAATATACACACGTTTACTACTTACCCGCTGCGGTATTCCCACTTGGTGGTCCAGAACAGTGCCACTAACCGATATCAAACCACGTGATCTGATTTTTTAGTATGTTCTCGAGTTTGATAAATCGGATATTTCGGTGCTTCGATCAGGTATGCTTTTTACACAGTTCATGAAAACCTCTGGATCGATCAGACACGTTGTATTCGACCTCCCAGTGCACACTTCGTAAATGGTCTATGTTGAATAGATTCCTGTGAAAGAACGTCACCTCAGATAGGATGTCAGCTGACAAAAACTCGTATAAACTCCAAAACGTGGTGAGAGGATCGAAACACCTCTCAAGCCAAACTCCCGTTAGGAAGCGATTCGGTGCCCTGTATTGCGGTACTGCGCAAACGCAGTATGATCTGCATATATTATGATAATGACGTCACAGCTGTTTTTGTTGATCATTAACAGGCAGGTGATTCGTTACATTCAGTCAGGTGTTGTACCCTACATCCCGAAGTGTGAACAGAGGAAACACAATATCCAGTTATGGAAATTGAATAGACTGAATCATTGGTCCAGGCGATTTCCAATTATGAGAATGTAAACTCATTATCATAAACAATTGCTTCGGGCAACTGACATGAAAAGGCAGGATATGGTCAGGGTTAGGACCCGGGGAGGAGGTTAATATATTGAAATATTCTCTACATACTTTTATAAACAAGCAATCGCTGAAAATGCCGCAAACGCGCGTTTGTTTGACCATATGTCTTGTAGTGTACACAAATCTAAATCAACCCTTTAGACATCTTCGATAGCCAAGGTCTAAGGTTATTTTGGCCAAGCCACGTTTAGAGGCCTATAGGTCGAAGACACGGGACCGTGCGATTCGGACAATGCCCTTTAGAGCACAAAACTATTATTGTTAAATTTAGGAATAGTGTTCAACATGTCCCATGTAAAGTTTACACCCAAGGTCTCACTCGGGGGTGAACCATTTAACTTTTTTTTCTGCAACTCTTTGCAACTATTTTTGTGTCGGTGTGCGGCTTGCAGTTTTTTCACCACCTCATCTATCAGCCACCCCCGAGTTCAAATGGTTGACCCCTTTCACTGGTAATATAAAATAGTGTATCCAACCAGAGGGTCTATGATCCAACCAGCTACAAGTACATGCATTTGCCATTAGAAAATATGGGCTGGTTGGAACACCGTTCAAGGAATATTGATAAATTTTGCTAATCATACATTTACTCATTTGAGCTAGAGGCCCTCAACCCACACCAATGTTGCTATATTTGTTTTTACCTTAAGGGATTGGT